GAAATCTAATCTTAACTCAGGGCTACAGTCAGCAGTAATTCCATTTAAGTCAAGAGAAAGCAGAAGAAACTCCATGTAGGTAACAGGGGGGCATCGACATGTTCATTAATGCGCAGTGCCTACTGCGCATTAAATTTAGTACTTGTAAAAGGAAGTACTAAATAAAGGCGCAGTAGGCTTCCCTACTGCATATTAGCATAATCACTTTTTTTCATGACAGTTAATGCACAGTAGACTAATACTACTGCACATTAGCCTAATAGCACAGTTTTTGCCATGACACTGTAATGCACAGTCAGTCAGTCTACTGTGCATTAAGCATCTCATGGATACATTAAATAAAACCAGAGTAAATGAAATAAGAATCATATCCAAAATATTCATTTACTAGTGCTTTTATAGAAGACTGAGAGATTAAAGTGATGTTTCTAGCAATCACCTTATTCTTTTTAAATAACCCTCATAATTTGTTTAAATTTATTTTCAGAGTATGGGCTGACTATGAACAAGGTTTTGGAAATTTTGTCTTGAGAAACGGTGAATACTGGCTTGGAAATAAAAATCTTCACTATCTGACCAGTCAAGGTAAGATTCGTATCAAAATAATTTTCTTCTTTAGCTGCCTTTGCCCTCTAGACAGATCTACCGTCTGTTTTTTGTTTGTTTGTTTGTTCGTTGTTTTGTTACTTTGCCTTTTCAGCATCAAAATCTGATATCTTTGCACTAGAGTTAAATCCTGTGTTTGAATGGAGTTTCTGAGGGCTTGTACCAGTACAAAACCCATCAGAATCGAGACAGTGCTCTGCAGTAAATAAGGACATACCGTTTTGAACATTCAGAATCTTCAGATCAGTTTGACTGACAGTTCAGGCCCAGACAGTGAACTTCATTTAGTATGGGTTTGTAATGGTATCGATCTGAGCATCTTTTAGCATTTCTAGCATCTTGGGAATGATGATGATGACAATATCTCCCTCCTACTGATTTACTGTTCTAACTTAACCGCCCTTTGATATTAGATTACTGATTGTTAGAACTCCATTTCTTTGCTTACGCAGGCAGCCAGCATAGCTGAAGTCTATGCCATTGCATCCTCTATGCTACTAGTAAATGAAGTTAGCCTGAGTTTACCTGCATGTGGTAGAACACTAACAAACACTTGGCCAGTTTGCTGACAGCTTACATTAGGAGCATGTCCTGACTGCTCAATGAACCTTTGAGTATATCAGGTAAATTCTCGTATGAGATAAGGAATCTAGGTCAGTGGGACAGGATAAATGGAAGTGACAAGAAAATGTGGTTCACATATTCAGGGCCAGACCCGCACAAACTATCACAGCTCCACTGGAGAGTTTCTCACTTTTACACATGCTGAAGATTTGGTTTTGGCTGTTAACCTTTTCATCTACAGAGGAGTTGAAGGGTTTGTCCTTCCATACCACAGCTGGGTATCCTGCTGTAAAGCATGCCCACCCACTTGCTCCCATGTGCACTAAAATATTGGTTTAGCACCTTCTCTTTTAAATAAGGCCTCTAAAATTTGGAAAATAAAGACTAGAAAGAGGATTACAAATATGGAACATTCTGTAAAGAAGACAGAATACATTCATGCAAGAAAGAACAAAAACCAGGGTTTTAATCTTTTTTTGTATAACTAATACATTGTTTTTATTCTGGAGAATGCAAAGAAGGATGCTATAATAGGAATTATATTTTGTTGTTTAAGGAAACTATACTTTAAGAATTGATCTAATTGATTTTGAAGAAGAACGGCGCTTTGCACAGTATACAAACTTCAGAGTTGCAGATGGAGAGGTAATAATCAGTGTTTTAATTAAAACGTTAATTCTGTTAACAACCAGTATTATATTAGTCTGTAAAAATAGTTTCTGTATTTTTCTTGTACATATGGTATCCAGTGTTTCTTATTATCATGTTTTCTTTCTTATCAGTTGCCTGGAATTTTAGATTGTATAACAGCTCTCTGGTTTAAGCTTGTCAATTGGTTTCAGTCAACCATAATTTGTGTCTGTCTAAAAGGTTTACAATTAGTCTTTTGATTCTACAGCAACATTTATAAATAATAAACAGTTTTCACAGAATTTTGCTGATGCTGTTAATGATCCTGGCCTGCCAAATTTTTTACAAGAAATGTGCTTCATAAGGTGAAATTTTATTAAGCAATATTAGCCTTCATAAACCACAGCATATACTCTTTGCTAACAAAGGTCATCATTCAGCACAGTACTTCAACATGTGTCTAACTTTAAATATGTGAGTAGTCCTCTTGAAATAAGTTCATAAAGACTAGTCATGTGATTAAATTTCATAGATTTCATAGACATTAGGGCTGGAAGG